TGAGCTGTATGCCATAATCATCAGTATTAAAACAATTAAAGACCTGAAATATTTCAGTTGGTGTGCAATGAATCTGAAATATATGAAAGTTTCATTTTTATCATTACATTATGGAAAATAATGACCTTTATCACAATATGCTAATTTTTGTAAGAAGGACCTGTACATCTAAAACAGATTAACCTTTGAGTCAACGTGCTTCAAGATGGCCGCCACAGCTTGCCAACCTTAACAAACATCAAAGTGGCTACAATTGATTAAATTACTGGTATTGAGCTAAAGTTTGTGGTAGTAGCTGAGAGTTATTCTTAACATGTTTCAAGCAGATTTAATAATATTTCATGAGACTCCACTCATCATTGACACGGTTGGACCAAAATAGTTACAACTCCATTGTTTCTCATCATAGGATATTTGTCTGAAATTCATCTAAACTGGAATGAGAGGTGGCGGGTGGCATGCAGTTTGTTCAAAAAACAAGAGGCCCTTCAGTTTTTATTCAATTTCATATTTTTCAAAGAATAGCTACATTCTTCACTTTTAAACAGACCTATGTTTCTTTCTTGTCAGAGTAAAGGCTCCTGGTGCAGAGCAGCTCCGCAGGCAAGGGGCGTTTACCTTCAGACCTTCAGGACAAATTGAGGTCTCCGATTGGTCATTTGCTGACACGCCTACTAGATTGATTGATAGGTCGAAAAAATTAAAAAAACAAGAGCTGGCAGCCCCAGCGGTGTTCTGTGTTTAAGAGATCTGAAAAAAGACAAAAATAACGGAGCGCTGGCCCTGCAGCCCACACATCAGACCAGCCCACCAGGAAATCTCCAGACCCTCCTGCAGCCACGCCGGGCCTGATTTTAATTCTCTCGTGACAAATTCCTTAATTTCTCACCATTTCAGTCATGGCATCAACAGAGGAGAAAGAGATCACTTGACTCTTGGAAAAAACAAAAGAAAAGACCATTAAAGCAGACCAGGGATGAGGAAGAGGAATTTAATACATTGGTGTTGCATACAAAACAGTCCGTTGCCGGGCAGTTTATTGTGCGACACTCGGACGCGGTCGTAAAAATTGATCTTTGCACGGACATGCCTTGAGGGTGTTCGTGTTGAATCTAATCTGGTACACACAGACCTCCGCGGACTAAGGTCCGCCCGAGTATGCTGGAGCCTTTAATGCCCCTTTTCCACCACTCCTGCTCAGCCCCAACTCTGCTCAGCTCACTACGATTTGAGCTCTATTCCACTGTCACTTTTTAGCTGATTCAGCCCCTTTTGTTGTCCCTGCTTCTCTGGTGGGACCGTCCGAGCTGAGTCGGCACCTAAACATGACCAGAACACTGTCAGTCACTGATTGATCAAGGGGAGGAGTCACTGGATCTCAGAAACTTTTCACCGAGTTGCCATTTGCAATTTCTCAGAACTCGGAGCAGCAGCTGGATCTATTTTTAAGATTTTAAAAACAATAATGACAACAGCGTGTTTAATGCTGAAGTCCAGGCGTTTTTTGTGTTTGGTGACCGACGACAAAATTCAAAGCGATCTAGTCACCGCGGAGGATCATACGAGCTGCCGACCCGCTGAAGCCGGACCCCGGCCTCGCGGGCTCACAAAGGCCGGATTCTGATCGCTGGCAGATGGGTGTACTGGGATAGAGGGTGGAAACATTTTTATTTTTACATTTTATGTATAAAAAATAATGTTTTTTTTTATCATTGAAAATGAAAATAAATAAACGGTGCCAGCTTTATCATGAAATCCTGTTTTCACTTTGACTTTTTTAAATAATCTGTTAATCAAAGTTAACTCAGCTGAAAAATCATAAAAAGACAAAATTATTGGATCTCAGGAATATTTCCCTCAAACGTTTAAAGAAGAGACGCAGCCTTTAGTTCAACTTTATTTTAACCCACAGATGAACAAATCACAAGAATTAAACTTTAAATCAAAGCTAAAATAAAATCTGTATACAAGAAACAAAACCACATATTTAAATTATAAAACAAATTTAAACATGATGCAGAAAAACTGGTCCATGCTTTTGTCACGTCTAGACTGGACTATTGCAATGGTTTATTATCTGGGTGTCCAAATACTTCTTTAAAACGTCTTCAGTTGATCCAAAATGCTGCTGCCAGAATCTTAACTGGAGTTACTGGGAGAGATCATCTCTCTCCAGTTTTAGCTTCTCTCCATTGGCTCCCTGTCAAATCCAGAATAGAATTCAAAATCTTACTTCTAACCTACAAAGCCCTCAACAACCTGGCTCCATCTTATATTACAGATATTATTGTTCCATATTTTACTAACAGAGCACTTCACTCTCAGGCTGCAGGTTTACTTGTGGTTCCTAGAGTTTCCAAGAGCAGAATGGGAGGAAGATCTTTCAGTTCTCAGGCTCCTCTCTTGTGGAACCAACTTCCAGTTTCTGTCTGTGAGGCTGACACATTGTCCAGTTTGAAGACTTTCCTTCTTCATAAATCCTATAGTTAGGGTCAGCTTGTTATGCTGCTATAGACTTAGACTACTAGAGGACAAACTGACCTCTTTTCCTTAAATGAATTGTTAAAACTGAATAGTTTTCATTTGATATTATTTCTATCTTAACATGTGATTCTTGACCTGCCATTGTGTATCTGTTCCTACCAAACCCAGCTGGTCGAAGCAGATGGTCCTCTGGTCCTGATCCTGGTTCTGCTAAAGGTTTCTTCCTCATGAGGGAGTTTTTCTTTCCACTGTCGCCTTCATGCTTGTTCAAGATGAGAGTTCAGTGATGGAGTTAAACTCAAAGCTGCTCCTCAGATAAATAATGTTCAATTATTATTTTATATACAAATGTTTCTGTTACATTATTATTTTATAGATGAATGTTTCTGTTAAATTATTATTTTATAGATGAATGTTTCTGTTAAATTATTATTTTATAGATGAATGTTTCTGTTAAATTATTATTTTATAGATGAATGTTTCTGTTA